CGTAATACAACACATGTTCAATTCACATTTAGGTGCATATTACGATGTTGTAGATGTTCCAGCGTCAGGCCAGGCTTCGTATCCCCCGGCGTGCTTACGTTTTGTTTTGTTCGTTACATTACGTTCTTTTATTGAATTGCATATTTAAATTGTATTTTTTATTACGTCTCGATAACCTTATAGCGAACATGTAATATTTGCACACTCTTTAATATGAGTACAATATAGCCATATAAATAAATAAATAACACACTATCATGTAGGTATGTAGTAATATATGTGGGGAATTTTGTATGACTTTTTCCTCGGATTGGCAAAAATTTAAATACCGTATATTGACCCATAAGTCCTGACTCTAACTTTTTGATAAACTGCGTGTGTAGTGTGGCACGCAAATGATCAAACACAAAATCCATCCGAAAACAAAAGAAAAGGACAATTAAAAACGTTTGTTGCAATTTGAAAAAAAAGTTTTGCAAGCTTGAAAGCACAGAAAAAAATACATTCCCCGAATGACTTTTAGTAAAGCATAAACTCTTGTCTTTTGTGGACTCATCTCGTGTAATTTAGCAATTGGCATTACATACTTCCACAAAGCTTAAATACATCGAAAATATTAACTTGGTGTAATTTAAGGTCGAGATCAAATATATCCCGAAGAAAATTGCATTAGAAATGAACATTCATATAGACGAAAGAAAAATATGACGGATAAGAAAATAAATTCATTTAATATTCACGTGTATAAGTCCTTTGTGTAAACATGTCTATATAACAAACCTGTCTATAAATTCCAATTCGAATGGAGCGAATCACAACTTATTCGTAAAGCCGGCGTCTTCTGAGAATATTTCGATATAAGGTCTCCGCTTTGTGTGTGGATGGATATACACGTGTGTGTGTGTATCTAACACATACATGAAAGATTTGCAATTTAGTCGACTTCTTAATGATATTATACAAAATGAAATATAAATCTCAGAACTTTGTAGATAAAGGCGAAATAGGCTGATAAAGCTGACAGTTTGATACAACATTCTTGATTGTCTGTGCGTGATAAAACGTGATTGCGAACGACAGGATAAAGATTTGAAATATCAAATATTCGTCTACTCATACAAAAATAGGGCTGGCACGTTAGGGTTTCATAAAAAGCGAGCAAAACTGGGGCTTTAATTGTATATATTGCTAGCTAGCCATGGATAGACAAAGAATATACATTAATAAAAAATTGATCGTTGTCTGTACATTGAAGATTTTTAAGAAAATATATTATTGGTGACATTTCTCAACGCAATAGAACGACCTCGAACCCAACTTCCTTAGGTTCGATTCGCCCCTGGATCAAAACAGGAAATGAGACAGGAACCTGGGAAAGCGGCGGGCCTATATTTTAAGCACGATATAAAATGTAGTATATGCGGACGGAGACGCGGGCGAAAAGCTAGCGTAAGCGAAAAGTTATACGTATTTTCTACATTGATTTACTAACTAAATTATCTCAATCGTGATGGGCTGACCTAGATACACGCATGATGATCGTTTAAAATACAGCTGTAGCTGTGATCAGTCACGAAACATCCCACTTACCATGTTCCTTTACATGTTTCTCTATAGTCGAATACGAAAATACCCTTACTAAGTGACTTCGATACAAACTCGAAGTGACTCTAGAATCTGCCAAACCGAGACATTTCGTTTGTGAATTTTATCAAGGCGTGTTTCATCCATGTTAGAGGAATTGGTTGCTTTATTTTGTAAATTATCGTAGAATCTTTTTTTTTTCCACCACTTTTTAGTGTTATGTGGAATCAAAGAAGAGTGACGAGCTTAAACAATTGCCCATATCTTATTAAACATAAATTAAACCTACCTATTAAATTAAATTAAAGATACGAAATAAGAAATTTAAATTCGAGTTTGTTCCACTTGTTTTCAAACCATCGACCTATTTTAGTCTCTTTAACGCAATAATTATTTTTTTATTTCGACGACCTGATTGTCTCTTGACGAGTGAACTTGTCTCTTACCCGAGGTTGTGTGGGTTCGACCCCTCCTACTGAAAGAATATTGTGTGATGATGGCGAATATGTTCTTATCATCAGATAATGTGGGAATATATCACGAGCTCTATTCTAAAAAAAAAAGACACGTTTATATTTATTTATATATTTGTTACACTCCTCGCCAATAGTAGGGGTCTAGTTCACAAAGGGAGGGCCGTAAACATTGTAGTGTTCGCGTGTTGCCGGCCTCCTTTCGCCCGGGGCCACTGATTAGATGGCTGCGGATCCATTCGGGCGAAAAAAAACCCGCAAGCGGCAAATAAATTAGAGTATTTGTTAACTGACCCTTTTCGGTTCGCTTTGCGAAAGGTCGAACTAGCGAAGTGATTTGTTGTACCACATTTACGCAAAGCAATCAAAGGTATAAAAAAACTACTGTTGTGTCCGTCTAACAAAGAAAACACACTTTTCTATAAATATTCAATTTAAGAATTTTTTTAAGTTTTCACGCAGTCTTTCTTTCACGCTTTTCAAGAAACTATGCCAGGCATATTTCATCTTTTTGCATTATTTAGTCTTTTTGCGATTTTCCCCTGGATAAAAATTCAATGCTAGTCAGATCTAAATTCACCAGGCCGGGAAGGTCTAGTAACGAAGGAGACTTTGGATGACCTTGCTTAAAATCCCGAGGAAACCAAAAACTTTGTTGTTAGTTGCCTGTCTCATATAACTCCCCATCTTTGGGACTGTATAGGCGTATTGAAAACTGGACAGCGTTAGATAACTCCGCCTACCCTGTTTCAAAGTCGTCGTATTCATTTCAAGTACCGAATGTTTTAAAATTAACTTTCTGCAGATGTATTCTTTGCCATTTCATCTTAATATGCGTGTTGAACAAATATACTTAAATTCATAACACATTATTTTTTTTAGGATGTTTCCTGTATGCAAATTTTAAAAAATAAGCAATAATCTAAAAAAAGAATTTAATAAAACTGTCATAACTTTCTAACAGGTTCAGTAAAAGTGATTTGTTTCCTTTAAAATACGATAATGTAAAATAGTAAGACGATGTTAAGAAAAGGAATTGCAACATTCTCGTATCTTGGAGCGGATTACATCGAGGGTCGAATATGGAGTACCCTGATGCGTGGTTAAGATAAGAAGATTTGGGTTTAAGTTGCGAACGAGGCTCCGCTTTATATAGTGCTGCAGGCAAAACCTGCGATTGGTCTAAACTAAATATGACTGGATGAGTCAACATAACAAAATTTTAGGTCTAAATGAACTATTAGTCATTTAACGAATGTGAGGTCATTATGTACAAAAAAAACTTAGGACTTGAACATTATCTGAAAATCCAAAGTATAAAGATAAGTATGTTACATTATACAAAGTTATACCTTTCAAGTTGTACTTTGTCAACTGTCTTACATTGTGAGGTACAATAGCTCAGTCGGCGGTATTAAACTCTCAGACCAGAGGTCGTTGAGAGCAAACTACTACATTGACGTATATTGGAGAAAATTACGCTACCTTTGTAGAAAACAGTGTTTGTTCAAATATACTTATAGCTTTCTTATATTCTGTAACTTTACTTAACCCCACTATGTACTTTTGTTACATCAATATACGATCAGTCCATAATCATCAGCCGGAAGAATTTCTCGGTCCAACAAAGGCCTTCCCCTTACGCCACACCGGTTGCGGGCGACTCTCACGATGACGTCGGTCCTAGTGGGAGGCCTTCCAACGCTACTATATATGAGATAAAATAATGAATCACTATAACAGAGAACCGTCGGCTTCCGAGCCTAATATTTTAGCGATGACGCTGGAAGCTGACATGAATTGCGAACAGGGTGAAACATAGAATTATTATATCGAAAATCGTTTGTCCAATTAGAGCAATAAAGAAATGTCCGTGAATAAGTAAAATAGTACCTTCTTAAACTTCAATATGTGCTAGATATATTAAATCATTTAGAGGTCCGGAGGTGGGTGTAAAATTAAATAGAAAGATTTTTATTACATTAACACATAGATACATATGCCGGCATAATAAAAGTGCGGAAATTAATCTTGCTCTACGCTTGCAAATCCCCTGTCTGCTGTTGATTTTATAGTTAAATAATTGTGTATACTTATACCATTAAAAGAAAGAAAAAAGATAACAAGACCGTAGAGTTTCTTGCCGAATCTGTTCTGGTCAGGTTTAGTTTAGTGAACCTTAATACAGACCTTAAATAAGTCTATATTGAATAAAGAAATGTTGACTTTGACTTTAAAAAAAACATAATAAAAATGTATATACATCGTAAACAATGTAGGAAACAAACATTCATGCTCACTTTGCAAATTAACAGTCGAAAAGCTTACTTTGTCACCCATGTTGTCAACGGAAACGCGTCAAGTGTATTAATCCTAAGGAAAACACGGCGAGAAATTAAAGAACAGTTCTCAAGTCACACAACTATTTCTATTATTAACTCACAATTTATAAAGAACTTGCTTAACCATAATTGGATCTTTATCGAAATATTCCTCCAACCGGACTATATCTATCATGAAAGCATATGTAACTTCTTTTACAGAGAGATAACCGTAGCTATGTATGCTACACAAAGCTTATAAGAGATAATTTGCATAGGTATCGTTCAACTAACTCCAATAGTACAGCGTGAAGTACAGCGTGTACCTGAGAAAAGCCCTCAAAGTTAAATAATCATATGGCCACTGGGATTCGAGCTAGCGACCTCAGATTGCAACAACTTAACCAGTCACCAGACCACCAGACTTGACTCACGTTGCAGTGATATCGAATTGTAAATAAAGTATGTCCCACTACTGTCTACATTGAGATCTCCCCTTGGCCCTGATGACCACGATCGGCACAAAATGTGAATTTGTTATGAGTAACCCTCCTTGGGTCAAACAGAACATTATCGATTAACCGTGGCTTATACAAATATTTGTTGTGTGCAAATCAAACCCATGATCGAGGTCATGGGTTCGTTTTGCCGATGCCAATAACTTCAAATATAATAGAATAGAATAATACTTTATTGAACAAAAATAAAATACATGAATCATAGTGTACAAATAGGTAGGCGGACGTATTGCTAAGGTAGCAATTTCTTCCAAGGAACCTGGCTTAGCAACTGCGTCACCGTTTCATCTGTAATCTAATTATGAATAAATGTGTTAACCGCCAATCACATTACTGAGACGAACTTCGGAGGATTATTTAAGTTTTACGCGCCCAAATCTGCCTGTGTTTATAAACGTCCACGCGTGAATCCAATTAAAACTATTAGCACACAAACACGCAGCGGGAACAATCGCGGCGGTTCAGAACACAAATTAGATTCGGAATTCAAACATTCGCTGATTAGATCCGAACACAGCCGAGTCACGTCGCGCCAATTAGAAAACGGTTCCGAATTAATTTGAAAATGGAACACTCGATTTTGATGTAGTGGCTGTCATGTGACGCTCGCTAACCGCCACGGGCGAATTAGAACCTTGCGCGGAAACCGCAAGGTTGAGATCACTCCGCCGACTTATTGTACAAAGCTCGGAAGATAATAGCCAAAAGGCGGGATAGCGTCCCGCGTTTCGCCGTCTTTGCAAATTGAGCTCTGTCGTATGGACTCTAAAGTTGAAAACGGCGTTGACTGGCACTCGTAATTAATGTGTTTGTTCGGCATAGTCCTGGCATTAGTCGTTTCATTTTTCTGTATTGCGAAAAGGCCGCCTCATTTACTTTTCACTTCACTTCTTACGTGTCACGTTGCGTTGGTGAAAATGTGGATTGTTGTATTTCAGCGCTTTGATGTTTTCATCAATTTCTCTCCCTTTGTTGTTATCGCGGGGTTGAGTTTTGTTTCGTGTCATTTGTAAGAGCTTCTTAATGAATTGATCTATAGCAAGAGCGACGATTTAAAGCGAAGATTTAAGAAGCGACGAATGGTTGAGATATCTCGTTCCAAACTTACGCCAAAAGATATATTTGTCTTTCAAATTACTTACTAGTATCTATATTAACCTTATTACTATTATAACATATTTATTTCCATAGTTAAGATAATCCACCCACAAAACAAAAGTATCCTAAAGTAATCCAAAAATGATTCTCGTTTAAAAGGTGTTCTTTTAATAACTACCAGTCTGTGCGTATGTTCGCTCGCTTTCATTTTATATCCATTAAAGTTCACCAAGTACAAGCAGGAAAATATCGTTTAGAATGTTCCCGCCAAAACTCGACACAACACATGTGCCGTGCCACACAGGGATGCCATAACGGGCTCGTTTAGGTCGTACATTCAGCAGGGTTGTCACCAATTGAATCTTAGTTTTGAAAAAATAAAAGTAGGAAATTGCTAATTAGATCTTAACTAAAATGCTTAAATTGCGCTTCTAACGTTATTTATTAACTAACAGAGATAATTCGTATCAAAGTGTTGAGACCTCAACATGAGTTCCAGTTATGGAGCTTCATCTCCAGGTCCCACTTGACTAAGTTTCATTGTATGTACAGCGCATCATCACATATCTAAAGACATTTTCTGCTTACATTACGAATTCTGCCATCTTTTGAACCTAACTATAAACAGACTTGAGCTTATTTAGTCTGAGAAGTATCGTCGTGCGTGCAGCCCTAAATAAAATAAATTAATGTGAAGCAGTACGTATTACTAATAGCACATTACTTTCGCAGACTGCGTCCATCTTCAACTGTACAAAGACCTTAAGGAGAGACAGAAGAACGGGCAGACGAAGGCGTCCCTATCGCTGCAGCAGTACCTCGGCTTCGAATGCGGTTTCACTTTGGACAAGGAGTCGAACACCCTAGCGATACTGTGTGAGGACGTGGTCCCAGTGCTGGCATTCGACACCAGGGAAATCCTAATCCAGTGGAGGGTTAAGGTAACGTTATTACCTGAACTTCCCAACACTTTTCTTGGATGTTCTGAAAATTTAAAAAATGTGATAAATAAAATAGATTTTTAGAGAAGATCGTATCTAAAACACCGGTGGAGGTGAAGACGCCTTACCAGCTTTGAAATTTAGGTAACGGCTACCCCGTTTACGAAATAAAACGCAATTTGTAATGCTTCCACTATACGCCGATCTAAGAACCCACGGTACTTCCCCGGATGTGTCTGTCCATTCGTGACAGCAGAATCCGCCACGTGCATCCACCACAGGAAATACCTAGTATATCACATTGTCAGGATAACCGGATTGCAAAATTGTAGCCCAAGTGTATTATATAACCTCTGATTTGTGACAAACATTTTAGCCAAACAATACGTAACCTCGATTTGTCAGATTCGACGCAATCACAACTGACATTTAACAGTGTAGCCAGTATTGACAATTTCTTTTTTTTTTTTAATCGTTGCTCTTACTCTAGTTTAAAATTATCCTGTGTTGTAAGGACGTTTTACAAACATAAGTTTCACGCGGACAAACACCCAGATGCGAAACAACTATCTGTGGGTCACACAAATAGTTGTCCCGTGTGGGAATCGAGCCCACGACCCCCGACGCCGAAGCCAATACCTTGGCAAATGCGCCACGGAGTCGTCAATTTACCGTGCTGTTCCAGGTGCAGCATAACCTAGGCAGCAGTAAGGAGTTCGCGGCGGTGATAGTGTCGGCGCCACCAGCCAGCGGGGCCCGCGCGGGACCGGCTCGCCTCCACGCCTGCGGGCCGAGGCTGGCGCTCTGCATCTCCAGACCTCCAGAGGTCCTGGCCCTCTGGGACGTGAAGCTGCTCAGGTGAGTGACACAGCGATGTACTATTTTCTTTACGTGAATAGGTGGCAAGCTAGCTGGCGTTTCACCTGATGTTGACTGATAGCCGCCGCCCATCGACATTTGCCACACCCAAGTGGAATTCGGCCACCGCACTCACCAGAAAAAAATTGAAAATTCCCACTTCCTGCCTGTCTTCTGTGAGGTCTGCCCATTCGTGCAACAGTGTAGACTGGTCCTGCCACAGTTAACTAGCGGTTGAGATACGCAGAAGCTTCGGCAGTTGCATGAGTGTGCTGTCTCATTCGAAGAATCACTAAGACCGCGAAGAAAGCCGGCGGAAGGTCGAAGATTTTACGTTCGTTACGTTAAGATTTTACGTTACGCATTCGTAATAATGTTCACGGGGGGTTGGTAATCACCATCCTATGCGTTTGTTACCCTCAAACTAGCTCTCAAACTAGTCTACCACTGTTCTACGTACCATTGGTAGACTAGATATATAGTAGTGATACAGACAATATCAGATTATATAGATATTTTTTGGGTCTACTCTACTTTTATGTTGTTCTACGGTATTAATGCACCCGGACGAAATTTTGAATCAATAAACCATAAAAGGACAATCGCTGACACGCAAACAGATGGATACGAGAAGCTTCGGAATATCTCTACTATATTTTATTCGAATTATTTATAAAATTCTTGGAGAGACTGAGAACGCGTCGACAGACCAAGCTAATCTTTCAAATTTGACTTTCCGGAAAACGCCATCAATTCCGACACGATTCTGCCACCCATTTCCATAAATAGCGTGACCATGAAGCGAGGAATTTTCAATAATCTCTCAAGTCCGAAAGGTGCGCGTAACTTTGAGAGATCTCAGTGAGTAACTACAATCACAAAGGTTTTTTTTAAGGTTTCGTACATTAAATTGGTGAAATAAAAATTTGTAGTATTTAATTCAAAGCTTCGTAATTACGTTGTATGACTTCTATTTATTTTGTAACAAAAATTTATTGAACATAATACATTTAGGACCAGAAGGGCAGAAATTTTAAATTGAATTAGATATTCTAAAGGAATGTATTAAAAACGGGACTGTCTCATGTTTTCCAACATTGATGGCCAGCGAAACTCGCACCCTATCCCAGTTTGACCCAGTTGTGGCAATGTGACATCGCTAAATTCAAATCGAACCTGACTGTTTTGTTCCGACGCCAGGGGAAGAGTAATTAGATTTGTTGAGCGATATTCCATAGACTAAATTGTCCTAATTACAGAATTTGGAAAAGTTCGAACGGGTTTATTTAAGCAATATGTTGTATATTCCATATTGTATCTCTCGTCTTCAACATAACGACGTTAATAAGTTTAGAGTCCGTCATACAAACAAAACGCACAAAACTTCGGCAACAAATTTTGCAAGTCGTCATTTGGCTGCCCTTATAAGATAAGATGACCTAGTTTGGTTCGGCACAATATGTCGGCGTGGTTCCTCACGACCGGAAGCCGGCCTAACGTCAACTCTTTGGAGCAAACCCAGACCCGTAACACTTATCTATGAGTACTCAAACACTTGACCCTGCCCGATGGTAGTAAGGAGATGGAAGAAGACCGAATGGAAGAAGAAAAGGCCGAATGCCTTGCAGACAACCTCGAGCTTCAATGCTCTCCCAGCACGCAGTCCACTAACCCCGGCCACCTACGTAAGGTGGACGAGGAAGTGGAAAGTAGATCCGCGGCTCCACCAACGGACCCGCCCCTCGAACATACTTCGGTCGATGAGGTCATGACCATCGTCAAAAACCTTAAAAAACGTTCCGCGCCCGGCCCAGATGCAATCTCCAATAGAGTAATTAAATTACTCCCTGCCCATCTCATCTGCTTATTAGTAGCAATAATTAATGTACTTCTCGACAGCTGCACCTTCCCCGACACGTGGAAGGTAGCGCATGTCATAGGTATCGCTAAACCAAACAAGCCCAGAGACAGGGCTTCGAACTACCGCCCAATCAGTGTTCTCTCTGCTATGGGAAAAATATACGAACGCATCATCCTAGCAAGGATTAAAAAATGCGTTAATTCACTAAACATTATACCTGACGAACAGTTCGGTTTTAGAGCCGGTCACTCGAGCGTCCTACAAGTGCACCGCCTCACGGAGCACATCCTTGCTAGTCGCCGTTCAGCATACATGAGGAATGATAATAGGGTAGGAATTCTCTTATTCGACGTCGCGAAGGCGTTCGACAAAGTCTGGCATAACGGCTTAATTTTTAAGCTATACTCACTAGGCATGCCAGATCGACTCGTTAAAATCATACGAGACTACTTATCGAACCGCCGCTTTCAATTCCGAGTCGATGGAACTCTCTCCCGCCCCCGCCCCCGCCCCCTCAGAGCGGGCACCCCACAGGGATCAGTATTGAGCCCAACCCTATACTCGCTATATACAAGTGACATCCCCAGGACCCATAAGGTCGAGTTGGCTTTATACGCCGACGACACAGTATTATTCTCATCCGACCGCAACAAAAACCAGGTCTTTACCCGCTTGCAATCTGCACTAAACGCCATTGGCGAATGGTTCAGAATGTGGCGAATCGAGGTAAACCCGGAGAAAAGTAAAGCTGTCATGTTTAATTGCCAATCAGGCAGAAACCTCACTCCCGTTAAATTATACGGCCAACCCATTCCATGGGAAAATAAGGCCAAATACCTCGGCGTCACTCTAGACTGCCGCCTCACCTTCAAAGAACACATACAAGCAGTAGTCAATAAAGCTAAATTTGTGATGTTTCGCCTAGCTCCTCTCACTAGAGCGACAAGTAAAATGTCGCTAAAACATAAAATACATTTGTATAAGACCTGTATTCGCCCCATTATGACATAGGCGAGTGTTTGTTTCGCGCATATACCTCCTAATAGATTAAAGCCATTACAAATAATTCAAAACAAATTCCTTCGTCACGCAACAGGCGCACCGTGGTACGTGCGGAATGCCGATTTGCATCGAGACTTAAATATAACATCCCTGTCCACCCTCTTTAAAGAAGCGTCGAAAAGACACTTCAAAAGCATTAACGCCCATACAAATCCGTTGGTGAAAGCTTTCGGAATCTATCCCGCACCCCCTCGGCCCGTGCATCCGAGACTACGCCGTCCACTAAACGTTATAGATGATCCAGACGACACACTCACGCGCGCGATTAATATATTTAATAATCAGCCGCCGCCCGAAAACGCAACGGCGCTATGTCTAAACAGCATAGCAGGGTCAGAGGCGCTCAACGAGGCGCCACGTAGCCGCGTCGACATAACGCCTAACGAGGCGCCACCCGCCGCGATCCTCCCGCGCGCAGTCCGTCACATAACACACAATGCACTAACATACAGACATATGGCTCAGCGCAATCGACGGCGAATGCGAGGTCCCAGATTCACGGCCTACACGCGATATACTCGTGTGCCTGGTCGTTTTTGAATCATTACGTCGTGTTGTCATTGTCATTTAATTACGAGTGTATGGGCGCTCGTAATTGCTGCGTGATTAATTGTATAACCTTTATTTTTTGGACGACGTTTCGTGAATGCATTGTTTTTATTAACATTGTTAACACCGTTAACACATGTTAATAAAGATGAACAAATCTCGTAAACAAATTGCTCTAATGAATAATTGTTTGTATAATTATTCATCCATAAGTGATATCGCAACGCCAATACGTCTCGGGATTAAATCACAATTTCAACCTAATTCCTTCCTCTGGGTAGGTCCCCATATCGATTGCGATCCAAGCCGAGGTTCGAACCTCCATCCGAGGGGCCCTTGGATCGTGTCGTGCCCCCCCCCCCCCCCCCCCCTGTTAGTCTATTGTCCATCTTTCGTTAGCAGGGTGTTGCGGAGTGCAGCGGAGTGGACGGCGTTTTCTTGTCGTCGTCGTGCACCAGCTACGTTGTTCTCCCGAGTCCGTGGGTCGTCTGCCCGCGGACCTCTTCCGCCGAAGCTGTCAAAGCCGGCTAACAGCAAACGACACGTCACAAAAAAAAAAAAAAAAAAAACTCAAACACTTGTCCCGTGTGGGAATCGAGTCCACGACCAATCGCTTAACAACTCGCCACAGAGTGATTAACAATTTCCACAAGTATAATATCGAAATAACTATTGATACTGCTCGCTCGTTTACTCCATTATAAAAAATAAGATATTGTGCATAATTTCTCAATTTAAATTGTTGTGCGAAATCCTGACACTGAAAGCAGCATAAATTGTTCGAATAATATTTTAGAAACCGTGACTGTCTTGTGTTCCCCAGTATTGATGGCCAACTTAATCGCGCCCCAACTATAACAATGAAAAATAATTACAAAAGAACGCTGGATGGAACGAAAACATGAAGACTCAAATCTTTAATTACTTGTGTAAAATGTTGTACACATTCATCGTTAGAACGTGTAGACACACTCGCTAATCACTACATAGTATAAAACAAAGTCTTCCCGCTGTCTGTCTGTCCATATGTATGCTAAGATCGGAACGCAACGGATCTGGATGCGGTTTTTTTTACTAGATAGAGTGATTCAAGAGGAAGGTTTATATTATGTATAATACATTGCACCCGTGCGAAGCCGGTGCGGGTGGCTAGTTACTAATAATCATCAATTTTAGAACAGTGAACAATCTAAAATATATAAGTTTGTAATAAATTTTAACGTATGTTTTTGGGTTAATACTTCGAATTAAAAATACACATTACAAAATGAAAAACGCAATGTGTCTACAAGAGAAAACGAAGAGATCATTATGTCATAGTACACAATACAGCTTTACTAACGAGGCGAGGACTCATGGTCTGCCGACAAACTAAAAATTCATTTCCACCCGCGCTATGCTAAAATAGTTCCATCGCGTATTACTAAAACTTGCAAATCCCATTCCGGTCGACGTATAGTGACGTACGATTTTTTGAGCTTCGTTCTCGCCCACTTGCGCTTTAATTCATTCGTTCGTTTTGCATACA